AAAGTGCTGGGATTACAGGGGTGAGCCGCTGCGCCCAGCTGGCCCTGTGATATTTCTGGGAAGTAAATTGGGCCAGGGTGGGAGCAGTGAAAGAAAAGGAAAATAGTAGCAAGAGCTGCAAAGCAGGCAGGAAAGGAGGAGGAGAGCCAGGGGAGCCCCTGGAGAGAAGGGGGGCCCTGCACAAGGAAACAGGGAAGAGCCATCGAAGTTTCAGTCAGTGAGCCGTGGGCATCTCACCTATGTCACATCCTGTCTCCTGCACTTGGAATTCCACCTTGTCCAGCCCTCCCCAGTTAAAGTGGGGAAAACAGACTCTAGGATCAGGCACATGACTAATACAGAAAGGAAACATGGCGTTGGGGAGAGGGATAAAAACCTGAGTGCCATATTTTAAGGTTAAAAAAAAGAGCAAAGGTGCTTCAGGGTCTTCAGGAGAAGATCTTGAACCTTCAAACCTTTCTCTTAGGCCCCTTCAAAAGGGGAAAACTAACAATTATACAAGTTATAGTTCAAGGACTTTAACCAGATTATTTATATGATTGTGCAAAAGAATAGGACTGTGAGGAGGGAACACCTTATTTAATACATACAAGTTTCAGAGACCCTATTTGACAATTTTCAGAGTGCTCTCTGTGCTGATTCCAAATCGAGTGTGTCAGCTGTGATTACAGTTCCTGTGAATCTAGGCCAGGTTAGGGGGGTGCAGGTGGGGGAAGGGAAGCCTGACTGGGAGCAATCTACCTGTAATCCCAGCACTTTGGGAGGCCTAAGCAGGTGTATTGCTTGAGACCAGGAATTCGAGACCAGCCTGAGCAACATGGCAAATCTGTCTCTACAGAACAAAATTACAAAAATTAACTGGGCGTAGTAGCATGTGCCTGTTGTCCCAGCTACTTGGAAGGCTGAGGAGGGAGAATGGCTTGAGCCCAGGAGGTAGAGGTTGCAGTGAGCCAAGATCGCGCCACTGCACTCCAGCCTGGGTGGCAGAGCCAGACCCTGTCATTAAAAAGGGGGTTGGGGGGAAAGGTTCTAGAATGTCATTTGGCAACCAGTTTAAAGGACTGGGACTCAAGGATCCACCTCCCACAGTTGCCCTGTGTGACCCTAGGCATTTGACTTAGCCTCTCTGAGCCTCAGGTTTTTTGTTTCTGAAACAAAAGGATTGGACTAGGTAATCTCCAGGATCCTATGAACCCAGGAGAAAGATGAGAAAATGTACAAGAATAAACACTCAGGTGGAAAGGCTGCAACCCTGAGAAACTCCCAGGTTGAATGAAAGGCACAGGACCCTCTTACCCCTTACCCCTCCCCACCCCCCAAGAGCCGGTTTCTCAAACCTTTCTCTTAGGCCCCTTCAAAAGGGGAAAACTAAAAATTATACAAATCATAGTTCAAGGACTTTAACTAGATTATTTATATGATTGCGCAAAAGGATAGGACTGTGAGGAGGGAACACCTTATTTAATCTAATGAAATTCCATAGGAAAGCGACCTTTTGTATGTGTAATCAATTTCTCTGCCCTCTCAATGCATCTGTCATATTCTGGAAGATTTCCGGGTTGATCTTTTGGGATAAGTTCTATGGCTGTTTGTGAGAGTGTGTGTGTGTGTGTGTGTGTATTTTTAATTTTGTATAATGGTTGGAGGTTGGTAAAAAGTAATACAACAATACTTTTTAATACAAACTTGGTGTGGTCTTGAGTTGTTTTCCATTGGAGAGTGTATGTGTGCCACAGATTGGTGCACCTGCTGGCATCTCTAGAATTGCACCAACTCCCTCTAGCTCTTCCTGGTGGCCTGCAGGGGCCTAGGGCGCATTCACTTCCCTTGACTTGACTTTACGTGGTGTCCTAGCGTCAGACATCAGGCGATGCTGTAGATTACCCAAGACATTGGACAGCTCTGGATTTTCCCATCTCACCACTCATCAAGTTAAAAAGAGGAAATTAACGTTTTCTCAGTAGTCCCTGAAAGAAACTAGTTATTTGCGTAAAAATGACTGGGCTTTGTGTTGTTTATCCCTGGAGAGGAGAAGGGTAAAGAAGACCCTCAAACTGGATTTGCTGATGGAATGCTTTTAACTCACCTATGCGGAGAGAGGACTTTAAGAGAGGGCGTGCCGGTGCTTCGGACAAAACCTGGGGAATACTGAAAGCCACCACCACCACCGTCATTCCAGCATCCAGATCTCAGTCCTGGGTTGGTGTTGTAGGGTATTTATTTGACTTGACGGCGACTTTCAAAGTTTGCGAGGCTCCCTTCCTCTTCCTCGTGTGCACCTGCCAAGCCGGTGCCCCGCGCTTCGCGGGCGGTCCCGGACTGGTGGGCGGGGCCTGCAGCGGGGTAGGAGCCCGATCGCCCGGCCCCTCCCCGCCCCGCCCCGCCCCGCTCCGCTGGTTCCCGGAAGCGACCGCGTACGAGCGCTCTCAGGCGCGGGCGGGGGTCGTGTGCCTGGAGGAAGCTGCGGCACCCCTGGCGCCCGTCCATGGCGCGGAGCCTCGGGAGCTGGCTGGGCGGCTGCCTGCTGGTGTCAGGTGAGGGGTCCGCGGGGAGGGGGCGCGCTTGGGAACCGGGAGGCCCCGCGAGATGACACCCGTGATCCCATCCCTGGGCACCATGAAAGTGACTTAAGTGCCCGTTCGGGCCATTGGGACCTCGGGACAGAAGATGCAAACGCCACGGCCGGCTGCTGAGACACAGCTAGGCTGCTGCTGCCGGAGATTCTGTAACAGGAGGAAGCCCCGTCCGCATCCGGATTACAGACCGTCTGGGCCCTAAACTCAGGGGAGACTCCCGGCGTCTTTTAACTCCCAGTCCTCCTGCAGCTCTCTGCTGGCGGGCGTCTAAGTAAAGTAGCTGCCCCGAAAGACCCAGGATCCCACCGTGGCTGTCATCTGGCCCTTCTGGAGACCATCAGTTCAAGTGGAGGCCCCCACCAGCCCCCGATGCTCTGACAGCCCTCCCCGACCCCAAGTCTGCCCACCTCAGTGCCAGCCCTCCCTACAGATGTGCCTCCCATCACCCGCTGCACCTCCCCTCCTTCCGGTTCAGGCCTGAGCACCCTGAAATCTGGATTCTGCCCCCCAGAGGCCCCCATGGCTTCTAAACCTAAATCCATTGAAACCTTTTCTGTCCTCTAAATTGACTGCCTAGGTTCCAATAACACGATGGTCACCTCCCTCCTTTCTCATGAACTCTTCCCTGGCCTTCTGGGATAATCCTCCGGTTTCCCGCCTACCCGTCAGGCTGTCTCTGCTTGGGACCCTCCTGCTCTGTCGGGTCTCTATGCAGCTAATTGTGAAGCCCAAGGCCTCTTCTCTCCTTCCCCCCGGCACTGTTCCTTTGGGGGATTTCAGCCAAACCTTGGCATTAAACACGGGCTATAGGCCCATGACTCGCACATTTATATCTCTCTTGGTATCCGTTGGGTGATGGGTGGTGGTTTATTATAGTCTTCTACTTTTCTACTTGCGTGTAGATTTCAAATTTTCTTTTCTTTTCTTTTCTTTCTTTTTTTTTTTTTTTTCGAGACAGAGTTTTGCTCTGTCACCCAGGCTGGAGTGCAATGGCTTGATCTCGGCTCACCACCACCTCCGCCTCCCGGGTTCAAGCGATTCTCCTCCCTCAGCCTCCCGAGTAGCTGGAATTACAGGTGTGCGCCACTATGCCTGGCTAATTTTTGTATTTTTAGTAGAGATGAGGTTTCACCATGTTGGCCAAGCTGGTCTTAAACTCCTGACCTCAGGTGATTCACCCGCCTCGGCCTCCCAAAGAGCTGATGTCAGGCGCGAGCCACTGTGCCTGGCCAGGTTTCAAATTCTCTATGAAAAGGTTTGAAAATAATTTCTGTCTGTAGCCCAAATCTGTTCTTGGTGTGACCTCTGGGCTCATTCATCTGACTGTCTCCCTGACATTCCTACTTCAGCGTCTCTCCAGCATCTCCAACCTAATGCAGCTCAAATGGGACTCGTCAGTTCCCCAGCTGAGCTCCAATCGGGGCACCAGCTGCTTAAGCCCAAAATGGACATTAACCTCAGCTTTTAGGCATCAAATGTATCAGGAAGTCTCCAGTTTGTTTTTACCTCTGGAAATATATCTGAAATCCATGTACCCCAGTCTACCCCCTCATACCTTTCTGCCACCATGCAAATCCAGGGCTCCGTTGTCTGTCCCCACTTTACTCCTGCCTCTCCAGAAATTTCTCCTCATGGCTGTTCAAAGAAAATCTAGACTCCTCAGCACAGCCAACCTGTCTCTCTCTCCCTCCCTCACCATAGAGGAGAACCAAGTGCGGGATGTGGGCTTTTCATGGGCATCTGTTTTGAGGAAAAAGGTTGTAAATGTTTTTCTCGTATTTTCATAGCATTGGGAATGGTACCACCTCCTGAAAATGTCAGAACGAATTCTGTTAATTTCAAGAACATTCTACAGTGGGAGTCACCTGCTTTTGCCAAAGGGAACCTGACTTTCACAGCTCAGTACCTAAGGTGGGTCTGGCCTCACTATTGGCAGGAACGCACCAGAGGAGTCGGCCCTGGGCCGGTTACTGGGCTGGGCCACAGGAGGAAGGGAGTCTGACTACGGTCACCATGTGACTGTGACAGCCCTCAGGGAGCCTCCCTGCCAGCTTTTTTCTGTCTGGGAAATTCTGGTGGCCACCTTTCCTCTTTCAGGTTTTGTGGTTGTGATGGTTGGTGATTTGAATGTTGATCACAGGGCTGCTGGCAGATATAGACATGTTATGTGTATGTAGATATAGTTAGCCATAGTGGTAACCTCATGCTGTGCAGATCCTAGCTTGTTTGTCACAGTTGATATATTTTAAAAGAAAAATACCACTGCTGTCATCTCCAGGTATGAGTAGTATTGCTAGAAGTCAACAATGTTGAGTGGATGCTACCCAAGAAACTGAGATATGCAAAGCAGTCAGGAAGCCCCTTGCTATCATATATCACCTGTTCCCCGACGGATTATAGCATCATGCCTCAGTGCTGTGCGATGCACATAATTTGCATAATGAGCACTCAGTTTCTCCGTGGTTTCGTCCTGAAATTAAAAGTAAGACAGCTACTGACTGTTAAAAGCCCCATTCTCTGACAACAGCAGGCGCCGTGAAGTAAGAGTGAGTGTCACCCTAGACGGTCATCTCAGCAGCGATCTGAACACCCTCTACCTCTCCTGCCTATCAATGTTTCCCTATGCCTGGCAAAGGAAGTCAGTGCCAGCACTCCCTTGGCAGCTTGCCACCATACGCCACATGCTGGACTGCAGGTGACACACCTTTAGGCCAGGCGCAAACAGCAGCAGGAGGCCCAAGGCTGACAAGCCAACACACCTGCTTTCTATGTGACTAAGAAACATACGAAGATAGACAAGTCCTTCAATGAGGCAGGAGGATATTTGGTCCCAGATCCAGCTGTCATTTCACAAAAATCCCCAAGGCCTGCTACATCAGAGAAGAAGTAGAAGAAAGATGAATAAGATAGTCCTTGTCTATGCGTTGCTGGCTTTTGTTTTTTAACTTGTAGTTCCAAATAGTTACAGACTTACAGAACATTTCAAAATTTTAAGTAGAATACAAAGAATTTCCAGATAGCCTACAACCAGATTCACCATTTTTTTTTTTTTTTTTTTTT